TTTTTTTTTTTTACCGTTGGATTAACACACAATAAAAAAAAATCCCGTTTAAGGAAAACATTTTTTTTTCGTAATTTAAAGGTGGTTCCAACACACTTACAAAGGCCAAGAATCGGCGGCAAGTTGGCGAGCTTGGCGTAGCTGATCCCCTGAGGAATGGCCAGGCTGGCTATGGTGATACCGGCAATTAGGTCAGCCTTGAAGAGGCTCAACGTGTATCGTGGGCCCCACTCGAGTATCGGGAAGAGGTACTGCAAGCCCAATAAGAACCTTTTTCCCGGCGGCTGGTTCTTGAACTGCCGGAAGGGATCGTCCGGGAATAATGTTTCCTTTAGCGTGTTCTCAAGAGACCTCACGAACGGCTGAGGTGGCGGCACCGCCACGCAGCGATGGTTTGCGGCGGAGTAGTTGGCCGGATTATAAGTTTGGTCGACGGTGCCCATTTTTTTGTTTTTGGAGTCAATTGAGAAAAATTTGTGATGTGTGTGATTAATTTATTTATTGTGTTTTGGGTTTGTTTGGTGTTTTTGTGAATTATTGAGGTGACTGTTATAGGAAACAAGTATGAATGATGGGGGGAATTTATAGATGTGGAGATCTATTATTTCGATGTTTTGTTTTTTTAATTTAATTTTAATAGAATGTGATTTGATAATTGCTAGATATACAATTTTTTTTTTTATTTTTTTTTTTTCATTTTGATATTCCACTTTCATATTTTATGGTGTGGAATTAACAATAAATATACATGATAATGTCACATTTGTGTCGGTATACTTCATGCATTTCATTTCTTATTTATCCACAATTTTGAATATATCCATTATTTGTGTGAGTAAAACTATAATTAAAATTATATATCAATGAATTTTAATTGGGAATAACAGTTGAGATGGAAATTATCTTATAAAAAAAATCTATAAATACATAATATACAAAATTTATTAACCATCTAATATCTTTATTGTGCTCCACTTTACGTAATATGCAAAAAAAAAAAAAAAAAAAAAAAAAAAAAAAAAAAGAGGACATAAATGTATTTGAAAAACTTGTGCAGTGACAAATAATATTAATCGTAAAATTGAACAATAACTCTCTGCGAGAATTAAATTTTAGAATTGAAATGAATTTTTTTTTTTTTTAGAATTGAAATGAATAGTTGCACATTAACTCATAGAAGATGTTAAGGTCTCGTTATGGAACCATTCGGTCAGGATTTATGACCGTTAAATCAACTATCTCCGACGGTTATATGATGATCTAACTGTTACAAATCCCGACGTAATAGTTCAGTACAATACCGTAACATTTTCTTAATTCATAATATACTAGTACAACGCCCGTGTATTACACGGGTGCTTGCTAATTTTTTTCTTAAAATCTAAAATTAATGAGAAAAAGTAGTTGAAAATTTAAATATCTTTTATAAAAATATATATATTATTATATATTTAGTATGACACTTTTTATTTGTGCAACTTACATGTGTTATATTATAATAATTTTTTAAACTTACAACATATAACTACATTAAACATAAATATATCAATTGAGAAATAATTTTATTTTTCTAATGAATTTTAATAAATATTATTATTTTTTATTATTATAAAGATAAATATAATTTATTTATTTCATATATACAATATGAATGTTAAATCGAAGATCACAAGATGATTAATTTGATAATATTATATATGTAAAACCGATAAGAAATACAAAAGTTATCGACTTTTAAAATACATTTATAATTTAATAGCTAATTGAAGGAAACAAATCAAAAGTCAGGGATATATTAGTCACTTAGGCTATGTTTGGTAAGCCAAAGAAGCTAGCTTATAGCTTATTTGGTTAGCTTATAAGCTCCCTATATTAAAATAAGTCTCGTTTGGTAGGACGAGCTTTTTTAAAAAGCTCGAGCTTATCCCATAAGCTACTTTAGGTAGCTTTTCAAATAAGCTAGTTGAATTTTTATATTTCAGCTAGCTTATCAGCTAATTTACCAAACACTTTTATCATATAAACTAGCTTTTCAGCTATAAGTCATAAGCTATAAGCTATAAGCTCAAAAATTACATATAAGCTATAAGCTAGCTTATCAGCTATCAACTAGCTTATCAGCTAATTTTACCAAACATAGCCTTAATGCCTCAGTATGTAAAATTATAAAGAAATAAAGGATTATATTAGTACAAGTGATATTAAAATACCTAAGTTAGCTAAATAATATTTATGGAATGTCCAAACCTAAATTATTAATTATTTATATATCAATATTATTTGTCCAAACATAATTACGAAGCATGATTCTTTGTCAAGTATGATTCTGAAGCACCCGAAATAGCCGCGTAGATTCAACGCATTCAGGAATAATATATGGGGAGGATGAGATAGTATATACTAGTATATATTGTGCCAATTATATATTTAATTTAATTTATAAATGATTGTTCATGCTATCATCATGCCCAAATAATAGAGAATTCAAACATGATTTCTTGATATAATTCGATATGGCCGTCCGTCAATGTGGTGGGCTTCTGTTCATTCCAAACACACACACGTGTCAGATACTGATTTTATCACTCTAATTAATCATGCAAATTAATTAATATAAATTAGAAATGTTCTAGATTCCTATTAAGACAAAAAAAAAATAATAAAAAAAAAATAAATGTAACAATATGCAATCATATCTAAATTTCTTGCATTAACTTATTTAATTTAATGATTTTTTTAAAGATATTAAGATATATACATATATATATATATATATATATATATATATATATATATATATATATACCTAACCAACTATTAAGATATATATACCTAACCAACTAGTCCAAAAATTTGAGCATTTTCATATATAATTAATTGGTAATTAATTTCATCTCCATTTGTTGATTAGTATTTTGTTGTTCAAAGAAGTAAAAAGGCAAAAAAGTAGTGAAAATATCTATCCATTAATGTTAGGTGCTTTTCTTTATCTAGGCTATCAAATTTTTTTATTGTAAAAATTTTGCAACTCCACTTTCATAATGATAAACCAAATGCCTGCCAAATTTAATATCATGTCACATAATTATATATTCCAAGGTTTTGCTATGAAACCAACAGTTGGCTTCATAGTAGAGCCAACCTTCTATCTACAACAAATAAACTTACCATATTAATAAAATTATAGTAATGTTATTTATGTCATCAACGAATATGGTAAGTTTACTTGTTGTATATAGAAGGTTCTCCGCTATATAGCCAACTGTTGGCTCCATATCAAAACCGATATATTCGATATTGACATGTCATTTATTTATGGAAAAAAATTATAATGTTACTAACATGTGGAAACATATACATTAAAAGATGTCTTGTTCTTTTTGTAAAAACATTTCTAAATATTAATGCTTGTGAAGTTACATTATAATATCTATAAAATATATGTAATTATCATTTATTAAATACTTTTTTTTTTCATTTTTTTGTAGAAATAATGAAGAATATATGAAAAAATAATTATATTTTGTTTAATAGTTAAATAATTGAAGATTGTTTTGAAATTCATTGTACAATTTATTACAATTAATTGGCGAAAGCTGCACCAAAAAATATTGGAAACTATTGAAAATGATGAATTGAAGAAAATAAATAAAGTTGGATGATCAAGCGATGAAGTGGTGATGATCTATTTGCCTACGTCAACTTCAGAATCTGATATGACTAACGAAACACTACAAATCACAAATGTGGCGTTGTGGGCCGTTATTTTTGTGTGCGTTTTACTCAATTGGGCTTGCTTTACACTTTAGTTGGGCCATTTATAAGATTTAATACTAACAAGTTATATATGTTCCATCGTTGATCAACCTACAAAGTTCAAATAATTCGACTTTTATCGCATTGTTCATGATTAATGTACCTTTTTTTTAGAATAATGTTGTTTCTATAATAAAGGGGATTGAATAAGTTAACAATTTATGAGCGAAACAGAAAGCACAAAAGCGAAATTAAACAACACAAAGGGGTTTGTCGATCCGCAGGTTAGGGATGGATCGACATGGTGTATATATCGATTTTTTTCTCTAGAGTGGGTGTTTGTTCTCCTTTTGGGCTCGATGTGCTTAATTCGTGCAAAAAAAAAAAAGGAAAGTAATCGTGATAAATGGGTTAGCATGCAAAAATTCTTCTTTTGATGATAGGATCGACTGAGCGGTTGCTTTAACAGTTTGCTTTGTCAGAGATTTCATTCATACGGCAGAGCAATCGACAAACCTATAGGAGAAGATAAAGACAGATCGACGCTCAGTGAGGATGTGGTTTTTTGATAACAGAGTCTCTTAGGCTTTCCATAATTCAAGCTCTTTTCTTAATGAGTCTGGTCTCTACGTTTCTCTGCTTAATGGGCCAGCCCGGAGTACATGCACATGTACTGATTTTTATGTACAACAAGTGTCTAACATAACATAATGTACGTAAAATGAAATTTTTCAAAAGATAATTTTTTTTTT